CGAATATGTATATCATCGTCGGCTTTGCCACAACCACCAACACCAAATTTTCTCTCATGAGCCACAACAATGTCTCTAAACATACCATTGCAACGATGCGGCCATTATCATACACCACACCCCACATCTCCACCACACTGCCTTTGTCAAATCTTACACCCCTCGCCAATAGGTATCCAACACCACACCTCATACCTAAAATCAACAACCCAATCAACCAATTACACATTACCATTTTCGTCGTGCCTCTCCATCCACAAAGTCTCCCACATGTCGACTCAAAACCAAGATCAACAACATCAATTCGCACAGCCAATCGAAACATCCAACATCCTAATTGGCCAATCGAACTAGCCCCTACCACCCATCCACACACAAATAGCAGTGGCATCGAGCGACTGAAAATGATAGAAGTGGCGTTCATCATCACCGGTGGTGCGGCGGCGAGAGTGGTGGAGAGTGGAAGATGATTTTATGGCAGAGAAGGGAGAGTGAGATGAGGGAGGAAAGATTTATGGTTTAGGAATGAAATTTGGTAGGGTGTATAACGATAGGGGTGGGTATATAGATTAATTTAATTTTATAATAATATTATTTATATTTAGAACTTTAATTTTATCTGATTTTAAATTTTTTTTAAAAAAAACTTGTTACTCTTGAAAACAGTTAGTTTATGTAAATTTTTTTTTTTTAATTAAGAACTGAGATCTTGAAAACAGTTAGTCTGTAATTTCCACTTGAATTAATCGTATATATTTTAGTTGCATGAGCTGGACTTTGGTTGTGACAGTCATTAGTCCATTAGAATTGTGTGGATACGTTAGATATGTCCACTTCTGCCATACTGCCACGGTGAATAACATCCTTGTAATATGTTTTGTGTAACCAAGGATAATTTACATCCAGCAGCCTCCAACTTATATCGCCTTTTGTCCTGAGTTTTGATCAATCAATCCAAAAATTGAATTCGATCGAAGCATCGATAGGCATTGTCTACAAGAGTATAAAGGAAAACAAGATTTCAGTTTTAGGAATTTAAGTGGGACTGCTACGACTGAATTATAACTCTTCATGCATTATCCAGATTTTTAGAATATCGTCAAATCAATACAGTCGATGGCGAACAAGTAATGAACTGCGAATTCTTCTACCAAAGCCCGTTATGCACCCTGTAGTTTGAAGACAATCGAAATTCTGCGTAGTTAATCAACCCGAGCCAAAATGGATTTTTGAGTAAACTTCGATGGTTGACAACAAAATTTATCCGCGTGAAATTCGTATTGACCCGATACCAATCATATCTACTAAGCATGAAACATGACTTTCGATCACACTTTGCATCGATTCAAATAACCGAATGACGGCTTATAAGTCGATGCGCCTATGTTCACCATAGGACAATATCCGACTCGTACTGCAAAATGAGGAATATAGTAGAAAGTAAACAAGTAATGAATCGGCATATTCTACTGGCAAACCACCCGCGTAACTATGTTTTGCATGAAAACTATAGTTGAATGCATGCTTCGTTTTTCAACCACCATGGAAGTGGACCCACTCGATGGACCCTTTGATTATGAACTCAAAGATTTCTCGGACAATTTTCTGATGAACCCTATTCAAATCCTCCAACATGTTCAAAATTCAATTGTCTCTCATATTCGCAATTAAAAATTTCTGCATCAGATTTTGATAACCTTACCATTAACATAGAAAGTTCGAAACTAACCATGTAACAAAATGAATATTATTCAACATCGTGTGTAGATGTCAAAAATGTATTTTCTTTCAAACGTTATGTCCAAGTCCAATATATTTGCAATATATGTCGAAACTAGCACAATAACCACAATAATAATAAACGAAGAGGTACCTCTTTGGACTAATAGAAATCAACTGGATCTATAGATGCCATATGAGGCCGAATTCGATGCTCGACACGGCGATCAATTAAATCGGGACGGCGATCAATTCCCTGTTCAAATTTCTATCGATTGGCACCCATTATTCTAATGCCTTCTCTTTGCCTTGTATGGCCCAAGAGATAAAAGATTTACAAAGAACACGGGTTGAATTTTAATACACATGGCTCGGTTGGCAATGGTTTTGCTTTTTTATTGAAGAGTTACACAATAAAGTTATCTTTGTTCTTTAAATATTCTTTTAGTTGGACAAAGAACTTTCAAATAAATAGGACATGTCTCGCATGGTTTTAAGAAGTCAAAAGATGTTTTTGAACCCGTTTGATTAATTTTATAAAAGTGGTTTTTTATTTTAAATTTGGAAAGTTTTTAAAAAAAGTTTATTCAATGTGGCTTCCTCTAAAATCGTATATTGGTGATTTTCTGAAATTACTTTAATAAGTTTCTTTGTAAGATTAAAATTCCATCAATCGATAATATTATTAATTTTCTTTAAATTAATTTTGTGATATTAAAAATATCAAAATATCCTTTACTATTTATCTTCGTCCTATTCCTCATATTATTTTTGGTGATTTTGTGAAATTACTTTAATAAGTTTCTTTGCAAGATTAAAATTTCATCAATGATCTTCGATAATATTGTTAATTTTCTTTAAAATTATCAAAATTTAACTTCGTCCTCCCCACTATTTTCTTTATAATCTTTTGATCATAGCTGTGCTTTCACGCTATGGAAATGGTTTCCCATTTATAAGGTCAAGCTTGTTAGCCATTTGTATCTCTCTCACAATAAGATAATTGAAAATTACACCTATCAATGCCTTTTAAATTCTCAATTCAAAAATCAGATTTGAAAGTTTTTTTGTTCAGAAATCAGATCATTTAAACTTTTTAATATTACAAAATTAAATTAGTTTGAGGGATAATTGCAGCTGAGACCCTAAACCTTTCAAACAGTGATAGACTTTCCACTAACCTTTCAATGTTGCAACCGTCATCCCAAACCTTTCAAATTGTAACAAATAAGGCCCCAAGGATGGTTTCCATCCAATCTGTCGTTAGTTGACCCAAAAAATTAATTTTGATCACATTTTAATCAATTTTAAAAGGGCAAAACAATAATATAGTATTTTTTTCCATAAAATAATTAAAAACTTAAATAAAAACCAAAAAAATAAATAAATAAGGAAAAACTGTCTTCTTCATCAACCCCAACCCCCACCCAACCCTCTTAGCCCAAAACCAGAAATTTGCCGCCGACCACCATCGTCGCCATCTCCATCGACGGTAAGCTTGACGGTCACACGGAGGCCCTTCCAGTCCTTGGCAATTTTCTTAAATATCTTCATCGATCGAGGGCACCGATCTTCGGAGTGAGAGAACTAGAGGCACCAACTTCACCGCCGGTTACTCGAACGAAAACGTCAACTACCTAGGACGGGTGGAACTTCGACGGCATTTTTGAGGATCCGAGTTAGAGAGGAACGGTTTGGAGAGATCGGGGTAGCAGCGAGTGTTAGCGGGTATTTTTGTTAAATTGCAATTGATTTGTTTTGGGGTCTGGATATGGATGGTTACAGGTTAGGGTTTTTGTGGGCAGCAGCGAGCGTTAGCGAGTATTTTTGTTAAATTGTGTTATGGTTATTAATTCTTGATCCATCAATTAATTAAGAAATATTTTTAAGTGACCAAAAATTTTGTATCAAAATACATTGTTAAACATATATTATGTGTCCGACTTTTATATATCCATTCCTATGTATCTATTTCATTATTTGTTTCGACTTTAATTGAAAAAGATCTTTTATGACTGTTATAGTTTTAGTTAAACATAAAAAAGTCTAAAAGCATTTGATAATGATACATATTAATGAATAAATTTAGAGTTATTTTTTTTTAAATTCTTGTCTATTCAATTAAATTTACGTAAGGTTCAAATTATAATATAAAATTATTTTTAAAATGATAAGTACATAAGAATTATCGATTGTGCTAAATGTACTTAATGATTTATATACACATGATATGAAGAGTTATGATTGAATCAGAATTTTTTCAATAAAAAAAGGTCCCTCTCTTTTTTTGACATATGTAAATCATTATATAACTTCTTGTGTACATGTAGCTTTATTCAAAAATTGTGGATAAAAATAGCGGTTTCTATTTTAATTAATTATTAAATTTCAAGTAAAATGTTTATTTTAATACTAATTTTATGATTTATGGCCAAATTTATGGGTAATTAACCCAAAAAACTAATAATAAATCCCTATCATTTGCACTCGTGGCAGAAATAGTCCGTATCATTTCAAACTTCACATTTACATCTTCATTTCCAATATTTCTTGCCAAATTTGGTCCTTTCAATCATATTTGATTAAATCATTCTGTTAAATATGGGTAATTGACGCAAAATGTCCATATTTTTTTGTCTTCATTGTGAAAATCGTCCCTGTCGTTTCAATATTTACATTTAAACACTCGGATTGATTTTTTTTTGCGCAAAATATTCTTATTATCTATCTTCTCTATTAAAACATTATAAAATGATTAATTTACTCCTACCATTTAAACCAACAAATAGAAAAGGAAGAAAGACTATAAAAAATTGTATCTGGAGGTCCAAATTTTTTAAAAAGTACAAACGAAGGTCACGTCAATTACCCATATTTGATGGAAGAATTTAACGGAACGCGACGGAAAGGACCAATTCCGAGAGAAAGGGTTGAAACGATATGAACTATTTTTGCGATGAGTGCAAACGACGCGATGCCTTTTTTTTTTTTAACCCTAATCACCCCTAAATTTACAGACAACCAATAGCTTTTCCATCTGCATCAATTTTCTCTTTCAGTTTATCCATCCCAACCAAGAGACACGATGCCCAGATTCAACAACAGAGGGGTCAACCTACAACAAGATGAAGAAGAAGTCTTCAGTGAACCTAACCCATTTGGTTTTGATTTTGCTTTCGGTTCATTTTCCCCTACCAATGATTCAAACGTCTCATTTTTCATGCCCGATGATTACAATACCACTTTCAGTTCCACTTTCGATCGGAATTCAGGGTCGGAATATGGGGATTCCGTGGTCGACCCGAATTCGTTCTTCTGTGTTGGCGGTGGAGGAGAAGAGGATAGAGATGAATTTCATCTCGGATCTGTTCGAGGCTTTCATCCCCAGTGATCAGATATCGGAATCTGATTCGATTCCTGCTGAAGATCCGAGTCCGGAATTTGGATTTGGCCCGGGTCTTGGGTTGGCTGAAGTCCCCTCCGTTGTTGGTCTTCGAGTGGTTGGCATCGAGTCGGAGTCTGATTCTGAGGAATTTGAGGTAGATTCTGGGTTAATTAACAATCATGATAATTATGATAATGTTGGATTTAATTATCATATTAATGATAGTGAAAGGGCTTTAAATGAAGAGTATGAATGGGAGGAGGTAAATGAGAGAATCCAATTTGGTGGGAGGGAGAACTTGAATTCAGTGATTGATGGAATTGAAGAAATGAATTTGAATTCAACGATTGATCGAATTGAAGAAATTTCAGTTTCGTCTGAGATTTCTTCGTCTGAAGATGGCACTCTACCTTTAAGCGATGATGGAGGACGACATGAGGAAGCACGAAATTTGGACTGGGCAGTGCTTTTCAGGGAGAGTCATCTAGGAAGAAATTCGGAAATGGTGAATGTGGAAGCATATAATAACAGAAATGTATTTCTAAATTCTCTTGATGAGTATCTTTTGGCCATGGAACTGGATATGCAATTCGTGGACAATGAGACTGGTTTAAAGTGTAGTCCACCTGCTGCTAAATCTGTAGTGGAGAACCTGCCTTCAGTGGTGTTATCAAAGGAGGTAACTGGGGCAAATAATAATGAGGTTGTCTGCGCGGTCTGTAAGGATGAGGTTGCAACAGGAGAAAAGGTCACTAGAATGCCTTGTAGCCATCTTTATCATGGGGACTGCATTTTTCCGTGGCTCAGGATCAGGAACACATGCCCACTTTGTAGGTATGAGTTGCCTACAGACAATGTGGGTTATGAGAAAATGAGGAGTGATCATAGGATTACTGCTAGCTTCCTTAATGCTTTGCGGGTGAGATACAATGAACTTTTGCCTTGAAAAGGTGTAGTAGTTTATATGTTCTTAGAGATAGTAATTTGAGCATTTTTATGGAATATGTTGAAACTTAAATTTTTGAATGTTGAAATGGTGAATTTATTTTGATTTCAGATTAGAATCCCCATGCATATTTCATCTTTTAAATTATTTTTGTGAAATCTCCTGATCTAGCATCTTATTGTTCAACTCTTTAGACTGTTGGGTAGTTTGTATATTTCCAGAATCGCCTTTCTTGTGTTTGTTGCTATGCTGCCAAAATGTTTCAAAGTAGGGTCAAGTCATTCCTAGTTTGAAGGATGAGTGGATGCATTATGCATGAATTGGAGTCATGTTCTCTGCCATTAGTGAAACTTTGTAAGCATCTTAATCTTTCAACATATATTTCATATTAGAATTTGACGACAAATCAACTATCAAGTACATTAATATGCATAGTTGTTTTACTCTCTTGCTCTTCTTTAGCTTCTTCTACTAGAGTTTACCATGTACAGAGTTTACCTTAAGAGCTCTCTTCTAGTCTTCTTAATATGCACAGTTGTTTTACTAGCCCTACCCATGAGGTCCCCGCTTTCTTTAGGCATTTAGTCCATTTTGAATATTTAACATGTTTTTATGAAGATTTTGGTTTAATAATTTATAGTATTTTTTGTCGGAGTGCATTGTCGTAGTTTGCAGGAAGTTTCATAATTTGTAGCATCGCCTGGCTTTCATGTTAGTGACCAAGATTTGATCTGCAAGGTAAATTTACAGTCTCTTGTTGAAGAGTTAGTGGAAGTCTGATCTTGATATCTCAGTTAGCTTGTTTGAATTCTATGCCAAGAGTGGTTTCATGCAGTCCACAAAGAAAATATGCATCCAAAATCTGTAAGTTTTCTAGAGTAGGGACCTGTTTGGGAACATTCTTCGGATATAAGAATTTTGTCATGTTCTAGAAAGTTGTGTTTTCTTTAAGCCTGAAAATGCCATTTGGTTAGACTATTCTGAACGTGTATTTCTGATATTGAAAGCATGGAAGCTCATTTTTCTGGCCTTATCCATATCACTGATAAGGAAAAAGTAAACTTTTTTCTCCTACAGTTGTACTACTATCAGTAATATATAATTGACTATTGAATTGTGAATTAAGAGTCGCTTGAATATTGATGCTATTAATGCTAAATTTTGACAAAACTAGTATTTAGTTTTTATAGTTTGCATTAGGGGTGTCCAAAAGTCTCGAATCAAATTGAGCGGTTCTTCATAAATTAAATACTCGAACGGGTATCCGAATTGAGAACCGATGGGTTTGGGTCGGGTTTCGGGTCTAAATCAAGAATCGAAGAACGAATAAGAACTGAAACTAAATAATTTTTTTATTTTTTATATTGAATTAATTAAATTATTTTATTTTTTTGAAAACAAATTAGCAAATTAATTAAATAAATCAAATTATTTCATAATTTTAATTTTAAAGCCCAAATTATTTTTAAAACTCATTAACCCATTTTAATTTGAAGTAAATGAATATCCTTTATGTAATTTTGTTATAATATTAATATCTACTTTTTGGTATTTGTATGCATTGAATTAATCTTATTTGACGGTTATTTATTTATATGTTTTTAAATTGGGCTACGTTAATTTGTAAAAGTTACGAATGAAATGTCATTAGTTGTATTTATGTAGTATTGCTGTAAATATTAAAAAAATTAATTATGGTACGGAATCGAACCGAACAGAACCGAACGGAACGGAACCCGAACCCGAACGGTTCCATAATTATATTTGGACCCGACGGTTCCATTTATTAAATACTCGAAAATTTTGGGTCGGTTCGGATATCTTCAGAACCGAACCAAACTGACACACGGACAGCCCTAATTTGCATAAACAAATTGCTTAATATCGGCAGGGGCGGAGCCAGGATTGTAATTCAGGGTGGGCATAATTTATCAATGTTGAACGTTGAGTTTTTTGATATGAATTTAATGACGATAAAAATATAAAATAATATTATCAAAATTCGTAGGTGCAATTCTATAACAATTCTATAAAGCACATTCAAACAAAACACAAATTTCAACAATTCACAAATTTTTGGTTGTAATTGATAGGTGCAATTTTATAACAATTCACATAAAAGCACAACGGAGGCAATTTCAACAAAACCCAAATTTCAACAATAAAGAGCTTCAACAAAACCCAAATTTCAACAATAAGAAATCCATATAAAGCTACAAGAGTTTGGTTAGGTACATTTGACATTGCAGTCTGCAGAGGATGCTGCTAGAGCATATGATGAGGGCCATGAGGCTACTTTAAGTTTCAGAGGCAACAAAGCCAAACTAAATTTCCCAGAAAATGTCAGGTTATTGCCATCTTCTTGGTCCACCACGGTGTCCCATTCAAACGGTTTATCATTTATGGAAAAAGCAAAACACAGAGTGCAAAATTCTACACAATTGAACCTGAATATGTGCAACTTATAACAATCAAATCACAAATATGTATTCAAAAACACCAAAATCATATAAAACGACCCAAGCTAAAATCAAACAAAAAGGGGAAAAGACCCAAGCTAGTATAATCGTAAAGACCCAAGCTAAAATCAAACTTGTAGTAGTTTACTGTAGCCGATTGTTGAAGGATGAAGTAGAAAAATCGTCGGGACCGTCGCACGGAGGCGAAGCAGGTAAAAAAAACCCCTCTTCTCTCTCTCTCTCAACCTATCAAATGCTCCACCATTCGACTCTAATCCAAATTTGAAATCTTCCATGTTTTCTATATTTTCGAGACTCGAACAGAGGCTGCGTGTCGCGTGCGAAGTGGAGGCTACGAAGTGGAGGGCTTTAGTTCAGGCTTCAGGCTGCGAAGTGGAACTGTGGAGGCGAAGTGGAGGCTTTAGGCGGCGAAGTGGAGCAGAGGATGGAGTTGTGATTTGTGAACGAGGTTTAAATTTTTGGGATTGGGATTGGGATTGGGCTTGGGCAGTTGTGTATAATATATTGATATTTTGGGCTCTCTCTCTTGGGCTGAGACTTAGCCTATAACTAAAAAAAAAAAATTTGAGCCCAGAAGTTCAGGGTGGGCCTGTACCCCCCCTAGGCCTTACTGGGCTGCGCCCCTGAATATAGGGGTGTCAAATTTGGTAGCCTGGCTTGGGTCGAACCACATGCATGTAGGCCCAGCTAAGGAGTAAGGCCTGTAGTGTACCGTCTAAAAATATGGATAAGAAAATGTTTCTATATATATATATATATATGCAAAATATTTGTTGTAGTCCGTTGAGCTACAATTGACAATGTTACTAGGAAATGGACAAGTCCTTGTTTATCGGATTGCGTGTGACTAGGCATGAACATTTGTATATGTTGCAATCTAGACTGTGAAATCATGTTCCAATTTGAAATGATGTAATCTAATTATTTAAATTAATTTATATCCAAATGTGCATCTATTTGGAGAAAACACATTGAATTATATTGATTGGTAATTCCTTCTTTCTCCAAATTCAATCAAAATAATTTTCGAATTATTTTCGAGTTAGTGTTCGCTATTCTAGTATTTGATATTAAGAAGAGTGCTATTAAGCTTTGGTTCGCCTGACATGATTAATATTATGCTATATTAATTTTGGAAGAAACGTTATAACTTAAGGATGAACATGAGTTTGATTTTGGTAGCACATTGCCAGGAGCGAAATATATCTTAAAGATATAAGCAATCGTATACATTGCTTCATTTGATTTCCTCATTTCTGCTTTTTTTAATGTTTCAGGAAGTCTTTATTTTGCTTATTTTCATGCACATATCTTGGTTTGAGTAAGTCGAAACTTTATTTAGTAATTTACATGTCAATCGAATATAAATCATGCACCAAATTGCTCCTAATATCTTAAGACATGCTATATTTGGATTCAGTATGCTCTACAAGAATGAAGGCCTTCAATCTTAATTTAAGGAACAAAAATTTTCTGTAAACTCCAATAATTTTCTTGGAGTTCTCTTGTAATTGAACGAAAAAATCCCTAAGAAAATAAGACTCCTACACGAAATATCGTGTATGAAAGCAGGAAATAAGTTTTGATCGGACTAAATCATATTCCTACATAATTTTTTTTTTTTAGGAAACTTTAAGGACGGTCCAATAAATTTTGGAATGGGTAATTATATTGCCACTACAAAATTGACTTGTTACACCACAATTTTATTGCTTACTTAAATGGCCCTAAATAAAATTACTTAATTAACCTTACTTTTAAATTTACTTTCTAACATCAAATAATTTTCATTGACACCACAATCATTAAATTAACTAATTTTTAGTATATTTATCCCATGAAATAATTCATTGTTCCACCACAATTATAAACCTAATTTTTTCTTTGTTCTTTATCATTTTTCCCCAAATCTCGTCTCATAACGGTTAGTTCTCCGTTTCAAAGGAAAAACTAAATCTTCAATCAAAATCTGGGTTAATCTATGAAGAAACTCGTGGGGTTCTGAAGATTTTCTTGGATCTAAAATCTGTCAAGAAAAGAAGAAGAAAATCTAAAATCTATTACGTTTTGATCTTTGTTTTAAGTTTAATCCACTGTTTCTCTGTTAGTAATCAAATTAGGTGCCGTGGAATGTAGATTTTTTCTGGTAATTAAATGAGTTTGTTGTTTGATAAAAAAAAAAAATTTCTTCCCCAAATCTCAACAAAGCAGGGAGTTAATATTATTAACTAATCCTATATCAATTATTTCTCATCTACAAAATTTTTTATCAGTTAATTTCTTTTTAATCAATTGTTTAAATATACAATTAAAATGGATGCCACTGGTAAACTGATGCTATCTTTGACTTAATTGCATTTAATTTTTTCATTATAGCGTAAGCAAATCTTGGAATTGTTAGCAAAAATAATGTGTGAGGCGATGTGGATCTGAAAATGCAGCAGCAGTTCCAGAATATATCTATACACGCAGACAAATATATCATATATGTATTTGTATTTGTATTTATCTGTCTTCTCT